CCTAGGAAACCCTATGGGGCAGTGCTACTCTGTCACATGGTCGCTTTGAGTCAAAAACAGACAGGACAGCGCCTGAGAAGAACAAGGGTGAGGGGAGATGGGCTACAGGGAAGGCCTCCCCACAGGGGAGTCCCTGAGCTAAGAGCTCGTGGGAAACATGGCTGGGGCGACGAGCAAGGGTCCAGCACCAAGACACAAACCAGCTGGGCCTGTGGGAAGAAGAGAGGCGTCCCACCCACAGTGAAGGGTCAGGAAGGGGGGGCCTGAGGCCCAGAGGCCAGACCTGGAAGGGCAGGGTCTTGTGGGTGTTACTGTAAGTACAATAGGAAGCCACGGGCTCCTTTGACAAAGGAGTGGCTATACTAATAATAGCTGACATGTACCGAGCACGGTCTGTGCACCAGGCATGGATGGAAGCACAGGAGCTCATTTAATCTTCCCTGCAACCCCGTAAAGTAAGAACAAGTATGAACCTCATTCCACAGGGGAGGAATCCGAGGCAAACAGGTAGTAAATGGCAGAGCCAGAACTCAGAGGCAGGCTGTCTGCTGCCGCCAGGCAGTGGTTGTGGTCGACAAGGGCCAGGATGGAAGGGCCTTGAAGGCCAAGGTGAGGGGTCTGGATTTTATTCAAGTATGATGGAAAACCAGCTGAGAGAGACTGAAGCTTCCTGACTCAGCTCCTTAGACCCGAGCTAAGAGAGAGCACATCTTCTGGGGAAGCCCACCACCCTTAGCTGAGGTGGCAGCTAAACCCATCTACTGCAACTTCAGCCAGATGAGAAGCCTAATTCAGCCCGGCCTGGGTCACGAGGACTCTTTAGCCCCTGCAGGATTGAACGCCTTCAATTCCTAGGTCAGGGTTCTCAAAATGGGGTCATACACCAACATCCCCAGATCACCCTGGATCTTGTTAGAAATGTGCATTCTGGGGCCCCACCTCAGACCTACTGAATCTAGGGGGCCTGGCAACGTGTGTTTTAACAAGCCCTCCTGGTGATTCGGACATGCTCTGAAGTTGGAGAACCAATGGCCTGGGTTGTCCACATGTAGATGCCCCCACCCCACCCCCGTCCCAAATCACGCTCTACTTGTCCTTGAGCAGCCCGTCCTGCACACCACACCACTCCCTCCCCACCCCTGGACTCTGTTGGTGGGGCTCTATGGCTCCTGATGCCTGGAAATCCCACCATTGCCCCAACCCATTTTTCTAACTACTTTGATTCCCTGAAGGTATTTACTATTTAAAGGGCCCTAGTGGCCTAGTGGTTAAGAGCTACGGCTGCTAACCAAAAGGTCGGCAGTTCAAGTCCACCAGGCGCTCCTTGGAAACCCCATGGGGCAGTTCTACTCTGTCCTATAAGGTGGCTACGAGTCGAACTGACTCATCAGCAATGGGTTTAGTGGCACAGTGGTTAAGTGCTCAGCTGCTAACCGAAAGGTCAGCGATTTGAACCCACAGTGGCTCCTGTGTGGCAGTCTGCTTCCGTAAAGATTTACAGTCTTAGAAAGCCTGTGGGGCAGTTCTACTCTGTCTTATAGGGTCACTATGAGTCGGAACTGATTCGATGGCAACAGGTTTGGTGGCACAACTGGTTAAGTGCTCAGGCGCTACTTGAAAGACTGGCAATTCAAACTCACCCTGAGGCTCCGCAGGAGAAAGACCTGGTGATCTGCTTCTGGAAGGATTACAGCCAAGAAAACCCTATAGGGCGGTTCTGCTGTCACATGGGGTCACTACAACCACATTTACTATTTAGTTGTTTGTGTCTCTTCTACCACAGAGTTAAGCACCTCTTCCTTTAGACTTCTAGGGTTTACTGTCACTTTCAGCCCTGGAGCCTCCAAGGCTGATGTCAGCATCAAGGATCCTGTCTGCCTCAATTGAGATGCTGCCCAAGATCCCTCAGGCATCAGAGTTCCTGTTTTTTATTCATTCATTCCCACTTTCATTCATACATTCCTACAAATATCTGTGCCCTCAGCATTCCAGGAACTAACTAGACTAGGAGCCAAGTACTTCAGTGATGACTGAAACAGACTTTGTCCCTGCTCTCCTGAAACTGACTCATTAGTGGGGTCAGCAACATGCAAATAATAATTACAAATTATATACTTATACCGGAAGGGCCTCTCTGAGATGCTCGTTCAGCTGAGACCTGAATGATGAAAAAGAGCCAGCCCAGACAGTAGCTCACAGCAGCAAATATTTGGGAGTTAAATCCCTGCCACTCTATTCCAAGCACTTTACATGTATTGTCTATGTAATCTCCCAACCACCCTATGGGGTAGGTAGTATTATCATCCCCACTCTACACGGGAGGAAAGAGAGGCATGGGAAGAATACATCGTATGTAAACAGCAGAGCCAGGATTCAAACGAGGCAGACTTGCTCCAGAGTCTACCCTCCTAATCCCAGGCTAAAGGGTTATTTATATCGTTCTGTAATTTTATATTGTTGCTGGTTATGGTTGCCCTCGAGTCAGTTCCAACTCATGGTGACCCCATGGGTGCAGAGTAGAACTGCTCCATAAGGTTTTCAAGGCTTTGACCTTTCAGAAGCAGGTTGCCAGGCCTGTCTTCCGAGGTGCCTCTGTGTGGGTTCATAGTGACAACCTTTCGGCTGGTAGTCAATTGCTTAACCATTTGTGCCACCCAGGGGGATGGATATATATCAAATCCATTGCTTTCATGTGTATTACTGCCTACAGAAGTTTTTTTAAAAGTTAATTTAAACAAAGAGTCCTGGTGGCACAGCGGTTAAGAGCTCAGCTGCTAACCAAAAAGGGTCAGCAGTTTGAATCCACCAGCAGCTCCCTGGAAACCCTACGGGGCAAGGTTCTACTCTGTCCTATAGGGTCTCTATGAGTCACAATCGACTCGATGGCAATGTGTTTGTTCGTCTGCTTGTTTTGGTAATTTAAAGAAAACATCAGAATGCAAATACAGGTGGTACAGTGATGGGGCAGAACTCTTGAGGGAGGTGCATAAATAACTGAAGCTTGGGACACACTCTGCTCACTGAATACCACCAAGAACAGCCAAGCACCTGTTCACATTGCAGCCATATTGGGCTCCTACCACACGTAACTCCGACTCTGCTCAAAACAGAGAAAACTCTGGTTGCATTGAGGACAGGAAATAACATCAGAACAATGTAATCTAGCATAAATCATCCTCAACTCAGCATTGGTTTTAACATAAATACTCGTTTGGTGATCCAACTCCTCTGCTTATTCACCACACACATCAGCTTTCCAGGGCCTTGGTTTCCCTTTGTCAAAAAGGAAGTTACAAAAAGTACCCTCTAAGATCACTTCCAGTCCAAAATTCTATAAAATGTTATAATATCATGAAATCCAAAATTATTCTTTCCAGAATCATAGAGGTCCCAATCCTGAATGAGCATCAACTGAATAATGAATGCTAAATAAACCCATGTAGCAGCCCAGGCCACCATCCCACAAGGAGACAGATGTCATCAACTATGCTGTCTTCTGGAAAGATGTGGCAAGATGATAAAGATCAGCCCATGAACATCCCGCCTCCACCAAAGCTTTAAGAATTTCCTGCCAATAATTTTTAAGTTACTCACTTTCTTTACTCTTCGTCCTTAGCAATGAATTTCATTCTAAGTCTGTGTAGTAGTAGGGAGAGAAATGGATGGGGAAGAAATCCACAAAACCTCATCAAACTCACCTATCCTCATGGTAAGCCACTGCCGTGAGCCACCTAGAAACCCTTCCCAGCTTCAATCTGAAATACTCCACTGATGCTCAGACATGTCTAATGTGCTAACCCCCTGAAAGCTATTGCTCCTTCTTTTTTCAAACACCCTAACAAAACAGTTTAACCAGAACAAGCATTCTTCCTCTATTATTGAAACTGATATATTTATCAAAACAGAAGTTGGAAGGCCCCCTCCTTTCCTTATCCATAACACCCTTTCTGTGATGTCAGTGGGCCAGTAAACTTTTTAATAAAGAGTTTTAGTTCCCAGAAAGATAAGTTTTTGAAATGTGGTTAGTCTGTGTTCAGCTAAAGAAAGCAGAGAATGGGGTCCGCTGCAAACTCTGAAAGTAAGGTGGGTAGCAGGTGATCTAAAGAAGAAAACAAAAAAAAACTAGCAAGTCCCTCGGCATGTTGAGTAGCCAAGGGTGATCACTATAACTGAAAAGTTGTTACATAATTACTTGTTAACTCCTGACAAACACACACGACTACAAAATGCCATGGTTACCCTAACCATTGAAGCTGGTGGTATCTGGTGCAAGAGTCAAGGTTTCTCCGATTAATTTCATTCAAAGAAATCAGCAATCCTGGGACCTAGTCCCTTCCAAGGTAACCCGCCTGCTTTTACATATACAAAACAGCCTACAGCGACTAAGCCAATCGCCTCTAGGGACGAAAATCAGTGTTTCTCTTTAATATTGATTTTTTTTTTTTTAAGGGAAGAGGAGATACAGAAGTACGTTCAGAGAGCTAAATATTTACATCATCTCGATAAAAATGACTTCCATTACAAACTGGAAATTTTGAGACAGTAGACCCCATCCCCCCGCGCGTCCTCCCCCACTTTCCTGCTCAGCTGGCACAAAACGCAAGACCTCGGTGTCGGATGAACTGCATTCCAACATTTTTCAAAAAAGTTTACGAGGATTTACCGAAACTGCGGGGAGGAAAATAAGAAGGCAGAAGCGGGGGAGAGCGAGCAGGAGGGTTCCAGCCAGGAAAAACCCCGAGAAGCGCCCAGCGGTGCGGTGCGAGGCCCGGCAGCGGGGGTGCGACCCGGCACCGGGAGAGAGACCGCCCCAGTGGAACGCGAGGGCTGACAGCTGCTCGGTTTCTGCCGCTGGGGGTCCCCCAGCCCCCCAGTCCGGCCTCCGCCTCCAGCCCCCTCCCCGACCCCTCCCCCGTAGCGCCGGCGATGAGCCAACTTGGCCCCGGGTGAGCGCTGCGGAGCGCGGCCCTGGGTGCCGGGGAGGCCGCGGGCGTCCTTACCTCCTTCTGCTTGGGGTCCTGCGGGTAGACGTCGGGCGGCCCAAGCCGGGGGCGCTTCAGCGGTCTCTGCTCATAGCTGAGAAGCCCGAAGGCGGCCATGATCTCTCATGTTAACCCGGCGAAATGAATGAGAGTTGGAGCTGGAGCAGCCGCCTCTGAGCACCAGGGAGCAGCACTTTGCAGACAGACTCCCTCGCTCCCCCTCCTCGCTCGCTCGCCCGCCGTGGCGCTGCAGGCAGGAATAAAGCAGGTTAGATGCAGCCGCTGCCCGACACGCAGACACGCACTGATGGGGACAGCCTCCGGCGGGTACCCGCTGCGCTCAGCCCCGGGACGCACTATTCCGGCGGCCGCGGGGCTGGAGATCTGCCCGGGTGCTCCGCGGCGCCCGCCTCCCTTCCTCCCACCCTGTCCCCAGGGGGAGGAGCAGCTGATGGGAACGTGTGACTTTTTTCACCAATGGACCCAAACCCACCCCAGCCGGGCGCTGGGCTGGAGTGGGGGAGGGGCACCGGAGGGAAAAAAAAACTTTTCTGGGCGCCTAGGCAGGTGGCTCAAGTGCTCGCCCAAGGCGAGGGTGGCTCTACTCTCCCGGGAGGAGGCTGCTAAGCGGCCCGCCCCCGCCCCTCTTCCTTCGCAGGGACCCTTCCCCCGCCGCAGACCCCAGCCACCTGGACGCGAACCGGGCCGGTGCGGAGAAAGGAGACCTGGAGTAGGCGGGGGAGAAAGGGATGCGGGCGGCAGGGACGCGGCCGGTGCCTCCTGGAGCCTGCTGGGCTCCGGTGGCGCGTCCGCGGCTCGGGTGCCCCCAGGCAGCTCCGGGCAGGCGCCGAGGCGCGCTGCTGGCGGTCGCGGCAGCAGCGACGGCTGGAGGGGGCCGTGCTCACGGTGGCGCGGGGCCGGCTTAACCCTTTGCTGCCCCTCCAGGGGCTGGAGGGGTGGCTGTAAGCGCAGGAGTGGGCAGCCGGCCCGCGGGCGTCTCGGGCTCCTCCAGCCCGCCGCCTTCCCCCGGCCGCAGCGCCCCCCAACAGTTTACCTCCCTGCCCCCCGCCAACAGTTTACCTGTTGGTCACCGGCTAGCGGGCAGGGCCGGCCGCGGAGGCGCTCCGGCAGCCGTAGCCGCCAGGATTCCGGCTGGGATTGGGGATTTGGATTTGATTTGATCTGTGAGGGATCCGTCACGTCTGGGCGAGCTCCGGCGACGCCGCGAAGTTTGCCGGCGGGCGACGCCGGCTCGCCGCCGCCGGCGTTCTCGCCCCCAAGGCCCGGGAGCGCGAGCTTCCTACTTGGCGGACGGCGGCGCGGCGGCCGCACTGAGCATGCCCAGCTCGGCGGCCGGACCGCGGAGGAGTTGGCTGTGAGCGCGGGGAGCGCGCTCCGATCCGCCTCTCCGGGTTTTCGCAGCCGCAGAACGCGCAGCCGGCGGGCCCGGGAGCCGGGACTGGCCCCCGGGCGAACCTGAGCGGGGGAAGGGATCCCCTAGCAACCCCTTCCCGGCCGCGGTCTGCGCCCTCCGCCTCGACCTCTCCAAAGGTCGCTGTCCCCGTGGCCTGGGCCGGAAACCTCACCTGCGCCGCGCGCCTGGAAGGAGGGGCGGCTGATCCTCCAGGGAAGACCTTGGTCATCCAACCCGCCCGCGCTCCCCGCTCGCTTCCAGGCGTGGGCACCAAGATGCTGAGCCACCTGTCGCGGGCACGGCGGGGGCGGGCCCGGCCTGTCCCCAGGGTCCCCGCGGGAGGCGCGCCCCGGAGGATGCGCCCGCACTTGGTCCAGAAGAATGATGGCTGCCATTTACGGAGCTCTCGCTTGGTGCTGGGATCTTCACAGTCAGGGTCTCTGATCCTTACTACAACCTTACAAGGTCTTACTGTACCCTTTTTATAAGTAGAGAAATTGAGTCAGCTCGGAGGGGTCAAGTGACTTGCTCAAAGTTCCCTCCTCTATAAGAATGGTGCAGGTGTAATCTAACTGAGGCCTTTGTACAGAACTCAGCACATAGTAGGTGTGCTCTGGAAATGTTGGTTGAATCTGAATTCCTGACTTTTAGCAAATGGGAAGGAAAAGTGGGGTAAGTAGAGATGATGATGTGGCGACAGCTAGTTCCTCTCTCCTGACCCATGACACTTCCCAACCCACACCTGATGGCCTTTGTAATTTCTGACTTCCTAACAATCTGAGCAAGGGTTTCTAGAAAACAGGATTATCCTCTGCCAGGAGGTATTTTCTGACCACTTCCCCGCCCAGGGGCTTCTGTGCCACTAATACCATCTATCGTTCTAGCTCCCTTACTTGAGACAACGAACAGTTTATTATGTAACTTTATTAGGAAAACCATACCGAAGAGTCGAAGGAATAGTATAATGGACCCCCAAGTACACATCACCCAGCTGCAGCAATTATCAAAGCTTTGCTATTCTTGTTTCATCTGTCTCCCATACCTCCAACACACAGACATACAACAGTAAGGACAGTTTTATTCATTGTTGTAACTCAAGTACACGGCGTGGAACCTGCCACATGGTGAGCACTCAAAAAAAAAAATTGTTAGCTGGTAGGATAGGTGACGGGTGGGTGGGTGAACAGACAGATGAGTCCTTCACTGGTGGTATTTTGGTGACATCCTGGGCTGCAACTCAAACACCCCTAGCCTGGAGGGAGATGGAAGCGAAATTCTTCCTTAGGATTCCTAGGCAAGAGCCTCCACTGGGCCTGCACAAATGAAACACTCTGGAAGCACTTAAAACCTTATCCACCCCTGAGGATTTTATGTTAAAATCAAAATGTCAGTAGGGCGTCCGTGGTGTTTGGAATGAAGGAAAAGAGATAGCTAGCATCCATTCTTAGCTCTCTCCCTCGTCTTGAAATAGTTTGACCTGAGGTCTTTGGCCCTGTCAGCATAAAGAAAGCGTGAGAGCTCTTTATCATTCCCAGGGACCATCCTCAGTCTCAAAATAGGGAGCTTCATGGGGCTCCCAAAGCAAAATTAGCGCTCACATTATCCTGCGATGCTTGGAAATGCTCGGACCCACACTTCCGGCCCACCTGTGCATGAATCTACCCTTCACCCTGGAGACGTTTCCAAATATCTGGCTGCTAACTCACTTGCCCTAACTTGGATCTCTGCTGGTGCAGTGGTTAAGAGCTTGCCTGCTAACCAAAAGGTCGGCGGTTCAAATCCACCAGCCACTGCTGGGAAACACTATGTATGGGGCCATTCTACGGTGTCCTATAGGTCACTATGAGTCGGAACCGACTCCACAGCACCTAACAACAACAACTCACTTGCTCTTTGCGTCTCCCGCCATGTCACAGGCCCCATTAAAATATGCTGTTTGAGAACCGAAGTCCTAGTTACAGTTAGTTTTTCTAGGGTCCTCCTCCCCTTCTAGGTCTTGACCTATCAACACCATTGCACCTTTTTATTTTTTTTAAGAACGCATAAAACCTGTGCTTAAGGTCATACACAGCCTCATCCAAAAAAGGATTGAGAGAGCGGCAGGGGATGCACACAATACAATGGGGTAAATGAATAAATCATTGGAATACCTGCATTTAAAGTCCTTCTCTTCCCAAAGGCACCACCACCTGCTACCCTCTCCCCTTCTAAAGGCCTTGTGGCTCCAGCACCCTAGCCACACCCACAGGCTCTGTAGCCATGAGCCAGAAGCTGAGGAGAAAGTGTTCACACTAGAATAGGCTTCTGCATAACTCCCTGACACATGTGGCATTAAAACAGAAGAGGGAAAGTGGGTTTCTGCCCAAGAAACAGGCGGGTGGATCAAGCTCTCTAGTGAAAGTCCCCCTCATGGTGATTCTGTGTTCACCAGAAGCTTTGAAGGAAAAGGTCTTGGAAGCTTTGCCCCAGTCCTGCCAAGCCAGTCTTGATCTCATCACTTGAAAAGGGATTTATGGGTCAAGACATCTTGTAACCTAGTGCTTGCTTTATCATCCTATCTGCTGTGGTGATGTCTCATTCAGGAACATGAGTCCCAAGGCACCATACGACAAAAACCATATGAGTCCATGCTGTTAATCATACGTCATTTGTGTCACGGCAATCATGAAGGCTGTTTCTGAGGGTGCCTTGTGGTTTCACCATACCCCCTTATTTCCCAAGAAAAGTTCAGTTCTCTTGAAGAGATGATATTGTGTGGGCATCAGTCCAGGTGGCCCTAGTTCCTGTTACCAGGGGAACAAGGTGGAGGCCTGTAGGAAGTTGTGGTATCCTCAGAGCCAGCTTTAATAAGCTGAGACACTTCCTCCAAAATCATTCTTTCATGACATGGATTTCCCATCCAGGCGTTTGGCTCCTGCACCCTGGCATTTGAGGTCATCACGATCCACCCCACCTACCAGTCCAGCTTTTTCTCCTTCACGTCCATCCCAGTTCATCCTCCCTCCTATCCTCTTAGTTCTCATTTGTATTTCCAAATATGGAATTCCCAGGTGCTCAGTCTTCAAATATCCACCTTCTGATAGTCCTCAGAGTCTTGATTCCTGTATGAAGCTACCCTAAGCTCCCCACGCACAAGGTGATTTTTCAATCTTTTTGGTACTGCTAGCACTTAATTTTCATTCTCGTCTCTTAACACCCCACCATTTACTGGCATGCATTTAAATGCATCACACAAGAATAGTCTTGTTTTCCTACCCCTACCTCACCCTCTTACGCCTCTCTCCTTTCATTCCATAGTTAGTCTTTAAG